TCTGTTTACCACCCACAAAGCAATCCTGTAGAGAGGATGCATAGAACTTTAAAAAAGAATTCTTCGAGGCCTATGTCTAGAATCTAGTACGGACTGGGATAAAATCTTACCACAGGCTTTATTTGCTCATCGAACCACTATTATGACAGTACCGGTTTCTCGCCCGCAGAATTAGTTCATGGCAGAAACTTTCGAACTCCAATTATGCTATTGTACGAAAAAATTATCTGGTAATGAAGAGGAAGAAAATACAGTAGTGGACTATATTTTTGAAGTAATGAATCGAATGAGGAAATGTCAAGAGCTAGCTGTCCAGCATATGGAAGAAGCAAAAGAAAGGCAAAAACTTTGGTATGATCGCACAGCCGTAGAACGTAAATTTCAAGAAGGAGACTTACTTCTAGTTGTAACTCCATCGAAGACAAACTATCAGTTAAATGGGTAGGAAAAATAGTTCAATAATTATCAGAGACAAATTATGTAGTCGAGTTTCCCGAGAAAAAATAAAACTGAGGTGTACCACACTGATATGCTGAAACCGTATTTTCAACGGGAAAAAAATATAAACTTGCTATGTTTAGAAGACAGAATAGACTATGAAGATGAAATACCGAGTCTAAATTATAGCGCAGATATTGAAATGTCTGAAATATTACAAGGCATCTAGTTGAATTGACTATTATCTGAAGACCAACGAAAAGATTTAAACAGTTGATATACAAATAGTCCTGAATTATCTCTGATGAACCAGGATATATTGACCTTACCGAACGTGATATACACTCAAGGGCCAAAACATTATGACCAGCCCTACATTTTGCGATGAACGCGCCTGGATGACGTAGAAGGCACGTGATCAGGTGGAAGTGGTATTTAACTGTTGCTTTTGAGTCTGACGAATCATTCTTTCACTTACTTCTGTGTGTGATGGGAAACGCTGCGGATCCAAGGGACTTTGATAGAAGGCAGATTGTAATGTCTCGAAGGCTTGGAACAAGTATTTCCGAAACTGCACGACTCGTGGGTTGTTCGTGATCTACAGTTGTTAGTACGTATGAAAAGTGGATGAATGACGGTGAAACCAGCAGTAGACGACATGGTGTTGGACGTCCACACGCTATCAAAGAAAAAGGTCGTCGGAGACTATCTCGCATGGTGAAGCAAAACTGGAGCCAAACAGTGGCTCAGCTAACAGCCGAATACAATGCAGGGCCAAGTAGAAAAGTATGAGCACACAGTTCAGCGGACACTGTTGGATATGGGGCTACGCAGCAAATGTCCCACTCGTGTGCCTTTGCTGACCAAGCGTCATCGCAAACTGCTTCTGCGCTGGGCCCGGGAACATAGCGACTGGTCCATGGATCAGTGGGAGAGAGTTTCCTGGTCAGATGAATCATGGTTTGTCATTCATCACGCCGATGGCGTATCAGGATACGCGTCTTCCAGGAGAACAGTTGCTCTCTCAATGCACAGTAGGTCATACACGGGCCGGTGGTGGCGGTATTATTCTCTGGGGGACGTTCTCTTGGGCGTCTCTGGGACCCGTGGTTGTGGTAGAACAGACCATGAATGCTACAGGGTATCTGAACATCATTGCGGACCAGTTGCACCCTTACATGGCCTCAGTTTTTCCAGCTTGAAATGGAATGTTCCAACAGGACAACGCCCGGTGTCACAAGGCTACAATTGTGTTGGAGTGGTTCCAGGAACATGATGCTTATTTCCAGTTAATGTCGTGGCCGCCTAACTCACCGGATCTCAATCCGATAGAACACATTTGGGATGTCATGGGTATCTCGGATTTGCGTGACCGTTGCTACAACATCTGGTACAATCTGCCTCCGGCCATCTATCAGGAACTTGTGGCATCCATGCCAAGGCGGGTTGAAGTTGTGTTGCAGGCCAAAGGTGGCCCAACTCGTTATTGACAGGTGGTCATAATGTTTTGGCTCTTGAGTGTAGACTTAGAAGCAGAAAGACCAATATACGCAAAACCTTATCGGATGTCCGACAGACAAAAGGAAATTTTAAAAACGGAAGTAGAAACGATGATAAAACTCAAAGTTTACAGGTGCTCAAACTGATACTCAGGTGAATCGGATTTTACCTCTCCAATCATACTTGTTGAAGTTTCTGGAAAAGAGGCAAGACCATGCATTGATTACCGTCGCTTGAACAAGGCAACTAGGACACAATATTTTCCCTTGCCAAACATTGAACATTTAATGGAAAAAGTGCTATCTACCAGATATATAACTGTTCTAGATCTTACTCGAGGTTACTGGCAGATCCCACTAACTAAAAGAGCTCAGCGTTACGCTGCTTTTGTGACAAGTTTTGGAACATTTAAACCCTTAAGGTTACCTTTCGGGCTGAAACATTCACCATATGATTTTAACCGCTTGATGGCAGGATTATTAAGAATCTGTGAAGAATTTTGCTGTACCCCTCCTATATTGACGTTGTTGCAGTATTCTCGCAAACCTGGGAAGAACATTTGAAGCACTTAGAAATTATTTTGGAGAAGATGAAAATTGCGTCATTTGCTCAAACGACCGTCAAACATTTAGATCATGTAGTAGTCAAGGAACGGTCAAGGAAGACCAGCAGAAATTAAATTCCAAGCCCTAAAAGACTTCCTTAAACCTACTACGAAAACATAGGTCCGGTCATTTTTAGGGCTTTCGGGGTATTATCGAAGGTATATTTTGAATTTTCTGCGGTTATTGCACCACTGACAGATTTCTTAAAAGGAAAAATGTTGCAAATCAACCATAAATTGGACTGATGACTGCCAGAACGCTTTTGATGAAGTCAAGAAACGATTAATGCAAACTTCAGTCTTACACAGACCGAACTTTTCTCAACATTTTATCGTTCAGTGCGAAGCTTCGAATATTGGTATTGGCGTTGTATTATCACAGATAAATGCTAAAAGCGAAGAACATCCAATAATATTTCTTAGCAAAAAATTTTCACCTACTGAACAGGAGTACAACGCAATCACAAGGGAGTATAAAAGTTAAAATTCTACTTTGATGGATCTAAGCTCATCATTCAGGCTGATCATAATCCTCTAGTATAGTTGGATAAAAACACTGGGACTAGTCCTACACTATTACGACGGGCTTTGATCTTACAAACTTTTAACTATGAAGTTGCGCATAAAAATGGGAAGCACCATCAAAATGCTGACAATTTAAGTCGTTATATCCCAACATCTCACAACTAAAAATATACATTACAGGAAGTTTAAAACTTCATTGTTTACATTTAAAAAAATTAATTAAAAATTTGTTTATGTGATGTATGGGTGACGCTAACCAACAAGATGTATAGAGGGCGCTGGCTCTTAATGTGAAGGCGCCAAAAGTTTTAGTTTCCAAGAGAGAGACCGACAGAGAGGTCGTAGGGAAGGCTCGTGGGAGCCATTAATGAAACCGAAATTAACTTGTACTACTTTATATATTTCAGTTATTAGTATTGTAGTTTAGTATTAGTTTTGTGTTTGTGAAATAAATGTTAAAAATACAAAAAGAGTTATTTCTCTATGAGACGGTGGATGAAGAAAGGGATGATATCACAGTTTAAAAAAAATTAATGTATTTAAACTGAAATTTTTCTTGAAAGTTCCACCAATTTGAAAGAAAAATATTTTTTTTTGAAACGTTCCCCGTGAGGGAAGGAATTTAAGACTGTAACGTAATTGCGTTGCTACGCTACCAACATAATTTCACTAAGAAATGTAAATTACCGCAACGATTATTCGCAAAGAATATCCGCAGACGATGCGCCCGCTTAAAAATGTTTTTCAGTTATTCTGCAAGTTTTTGACTAATAAAGTTGGTTGTTCGTTCAAAAATAGCGAGATTTCTTTAAAACTTCATTACAATATCAACAAATCTAAATTCATAAAATTAGCAAAGCCTTGTGTTTAGCGTAGATTTTAGTCAAGATTCTATTGATTTTGAGGGCAAGCAGGCACAGATCCGTCTTCATCAGGAATCTGGTAAGATTTCTTTAATCCTGATGAAGAGGGATAAAAGAAATCCTGATGAAGAGGGATCAAAGAAATCCTGATGAAGAAGATATACCTGTGTTTATGTGTTACGAAGATATACGTGTTTCTTTTGCGTTTTCAAATCTAAATTAATTTTAATCTGAGTGCTTATCCCCGAGATTTTTAGGTATTAGTAAGCAATGTTCCTTAGGTTTTTGTAAGAGATTTAAAGTTCTGCAAATGCAACTCTGTCATAAAAATAATTTTTTTCTATGTTGATATTAATAAATTTAGTGTCTAGATATAATATAAATTACTTTAATATGTGCTGTATTATTGTAAGTGGTTATAGCCTTGAGCACCATAGAGATGATAGTACGACTTTACTCAGTTCCGCCCCCCAGAAGGGAAGGTCTTATACATTTTTTCCCCTATCCCAACCTCTCGAGAGGACTTTCGGCTCGCCGGATATTTAACGGTGACATCTCAACAAAACCACACGTTAGATCTGGTGCCAAATGCCAACTGGCCGTCCGCTATCCACTCGGATGGCCCTCTTGGACAGCATAGACTGCCCTTTCAGGGAGTAGGAAATGGGTGCTGTAGTTTACACTCCCACTCCCAGAACCGAGTATAAAGTTCATCCAGTACAATAAACGATGCCGTGGGGGATGAAAGATAAACATAAAACTGGACATACTGGATAAATTCAGGGCATCAGAACAGTTTATCTAGAAATAGGGCTGTCCACGAAAAGCAGTTTGAGGAGCAAACTTAGATTAGATTCTTTCACATTCTTCATTTCAGAAAATTAAAAGTTTTATCATGTATAGATTCATAATAAATTCTAATATACTGCTTTTAACAGAAGAAACGGAAATCTGTAGTTATTTTGTGAGGCTGTGCGTAATCGCGTTTAATGAATGGTTAATGCAGAACTTCTCATTATATTTAGACCTAAGCTGAAATTCAGTGTCATGTCAGAAGTAAAAGAAAGCAATGCATTTTAACACTTCATATTTAATGAATAATCTCAGTTTTTACATCCAAACAAAGCAATGTTAACAATTTTCTTTGGAATCGAATTCCAAACGTTCTGTATCAATCTTTAGTGACTTCAGCTTCTCCAGTAAACCTTTCTTTTTAGCATCACTCAGGTGAGCATCCCTCGTTATAATCGAAACCATTTCTAGAGCAAATAATTTGCAAAATTATTTTCTTTAATAATAATAATAATAATTAAAATTTCTTTCTTCTGAACGAAATGTCAATCTGAGAGATATGCACTAATTTTATGACAAACAGTTAGACACTGAAAATTTATACAATTGAAAATAAGTTCATAATCACTTCTAATATCTATAAATTTGTAATTAAATTAAGAAGTATAAGCTGTTTTTCCATTCGGTTTAATTACAATTAAGCAAATTTGTGTGTTTTGGGAGATTTTATCCTTTTAGCTATCACGCAAGGAAATGATCTTACTAAACTAGGCGATTTCTCGCACAGGCGACAAGAAATAGCACACAGGGGAAGGGTTTAAATTGCCGTTTTTATTTTCTGAACTCTTTAACAAAAATGCCTGTACTTCGTGCGAAAAATAACACTGACTACTTGCGGTAAAAACTTGAGGTTAAATTAACAGTAGCTTAAATGACAAAGAGTTGTACTGGACTGCTTAAAACTAATAAGCTGACTCAACCTAAACCGGTAGAAGGTGTATCAGTAAATCGGAGAAACAGCAGCAAGGACAAAGTAGCGACTTGCGCTATACTAGAGAAATCACACTCTAACTTCCAGGTCCCTCTAGTAGCCCCGATTAACATACTAAATGCATCTTATTTTATGGCTGTCTTGATGTGGTTGCCTCAGTGGGCGATTGAAATAGAGTGACTACTTGGCCGATGGGTCCAGGAGAACAACTAGGATTGTTGGAGGGTGAGTACGTGATACATGAAACAGTCTTATAACAGTCCTAGTTGCTATGCAGAATAACTTGGATAACAATATTGATGACAACATATGAGATCAGAGTTCATGATCGCGTGTATCACGTGATTTGGGTTGAATTCATCCGAAAGTGCAGTAAACAAAATATATTACAGGAAAATAAATAACAAATGAAGATGTAAGATTATGTATAATTAAGTTTAGGAGGTAGTCCATGAATCTGCGCAAATCCTAGGTACTAAAGTTCAGTAACAAGAGCTACGTAGCACAACGAGCAGAATCCAGGGTGACGTGGGTGGTCGCCAACCCAAGTGCTCTCTCTGGAGAATGCTGTTGGAATTTGCAGGAATTAAACTATTAAAATAAAATAAATTTGTATAAAATAGTGACATAACTGCACAAGAAAATTTAAGTGCGAAAGTCCTGGCTTTCACTATCGATGAAGGCTGTATAAGGGCGAAGATACATAAATCTTCACGGAGCACTTCGTAACAGCAGCAAGGACAAAGTAGCAACGTGAGCTATGCTAGCGAAATCACACTCTAACTAACTTCCAGATCCCTCTAGTAGACGTGATTAACGTGCTAAATGCACGTTGTTTTCCGGCTGTCTTGGTGTTATTGCCTCAGTGGGCGCTTGAACTAGAGTGACTAGTTGGCCGATGGGTCCAGTAGGACAACTAGGATAGTTGAAGGGTGAGTAATTGATACATAAAACAGTGTTATAACAGTTCTAGTAGCTATTCAGAATAACTTGGATAACAGTACTGATGACAGCAAGATGTAAGATTATACATAATTAGTTGCAGAAGGCAGAGAATGAATTTATGCAGTAATCGTAGGTGCTAAAGTTCAGTAACAGGAGCTATATAGCACAACGAGCAGAATCCGGGGACATGTGGATGGTCAACCACTTAAGTGCTGTCTCTAAAAAATGCTGCTGGAATCTGCAGGAATTAAACTATGAAAATAAAATACATTTGTATAAAATAGTGACATAACTACAAGAACTTTTAAGTGTGAAAATCCTGGCTTTCACTGACGACGAATCCTTTATGAAGGCGAAGATATAAATCTTCGTGCCGCACGTCATATTGAAATGTTCAAAAAACGTTTATTTGGTCACAATATTGAGCACTCTCGAAGAATTTTATGTTAGCTTTCATGAGAAAGTTATCCAAAGTATGCAGTTTGAAATCAGCATGTGGTAGTTTATTTCGAACGAAATAGTGTGCATTAGTGCTGATCCTCACAAATCTGCTTTGCACAACTTGAATCTTGGGTATATCCGAAGGAGTATTTGTAGCCTAATCAGGCGAAACGTGAGTTATCAAGGGTATAATACTTGAAGTGTAGATGAGTTTTTCTTTGAAAGATACAGCTTTCACTATTTTCATATCATGGAAAGTAGACACTTCATGACTTTAATTGCTTTGCATTTCACGTGATAATTGTAATGTTACCATGTGAGTTTGACATTAATGATGATTCCTAGGTAATTACCTTTTCGAACAATGGGTTCCGGTTCGTTGAAAAGGAAAAATTTTTTCTTTGGCTTTAAATTCCGCCTTTTCCGTCTAACAAGCAGGAGCTGTGACGTTTGGGAGTTAATACATATTTTCCATTAGCTACACCACTCTTCAATACTCGGAATGATGGTTTGCAGCATTTTAATGGCTCTAACTAACTTTCTCTTTTCGCCCGTTTAAATACTCCTCTTCAATTTAACATAATTTGCATCCTGGCGAGGAATTTCGATAGTAAATTGAGGAGTAAAAAAAATAACAAAAATTAGAATAATTGGTTATTTAAACTGTAGGGATACCCTGCAGTTTGTCCATGTTATATTTGAGAAACATTTAATTTTGACAGAATATAGAAGTAAATACATTTAATAGATATTAAAAGCAGAGAAGCAAATTTATGTACCGTATGTCTTATAAGCTTTTGCTAAAATTAATTATAGATTTATATTAGAGTTTAAATATTGTTTTCTCGTAATATAACACATATATAATTAAGTTAAGTAATTTGTGCAAAAACACTAGTTAAATTTACTTACGAGCTTTGTAGCCTGGAGAAATATCACAGATGTAACTAATTACATAATCATCGTACTTTGCATCCACAATGTTGAAGGTATTATCCAGTCCCACTATAATTTGTGTAAACAAATAAATATGTAAGTAAATAACTTTATAAGTAACATATAATAAATTCACAGTAACATATAATAAATTCACAGTAAGTAACATATAATAAATTCAAATTGTTTCACTAGTGATTAAAAGTACTTCACTGAATGCAAACGCAGTAAAAAATTTCATTGCTAAAATGTTTTGTATGCACATAAAACTTTGGTTAGAGCACATCACCGCTTAATGTAAAATCTGCTGTAGGTGCTGTAATGTTTTAGTGGTATTATAGTTTTATCGTATTTGTATAAAAGCTTTCATCGGTATATACGTTTTGACCATTGACCAGTAAATATATCTAACAAATAGGCAAGACACGCGGCATTAGTTTAGCAATCAGGAAATATCCACCACAAAATTTTGCAATTCAGCTTCAGAGTTGCATCGAAAATTAGGTTTCGGTTTTGGAGAAACACTTCATTATCATATGTGATACTCATCACTGTCACTGAGGGACTTGTCGCACTGCTATATCCATATTTATAAGATTTAAGGTCCCTATATTTGTTGTTATGTTTATGTTTTAATCGAAGATTATGATTATTGATGTTCGTTTCACTTCTACGAATATCTTTGGAACTTCTTAAGTGTGTGTTATGAGACGTTCATGTTATCCATAATATATCGAGCATTTTTTCTTTCTGAATGAAATACGCACATATATTCAGCTGTTGAAAGTTTCATACTTGAGCTCTATAATAAAAGGCGCTATGAACTAGAAAACTACACGAAACTATGAACATTCTTTCTTAACAAGGGCGGCCTTTTATTCAAACGACTACAAGTGCCCGAAACAACCACGGATGCAGTTTTCCCAAATGCATGGTATTAGTTTATTGTAGACAGCTTGTCCTAAAAGGCTAATGGATGCTTCTTTGCTAGGAAGTAGATAGAATGTCATTTGAAGTCGACACTCTTTTTTTTGTGCTTAATTGGACTCCGATGGAAGGAGACGGATGGGACGGGTAACGGACGGACCCGGGCGTTTCGGTATTTTTATTATACAAGTTAACGAAGACTTTGGTTTTGTAAAGGTTACATGTTGAACATTCCAATTATACTCAGTTATACTGGAAAAAAATTAAAGTCTGCCTGAAAGAATAGAAAGAATGCAGTAAAATTAAATGCTTAACGGAAAAACCAGTACATGAAGCTAATTAACATACTCGAACATTTATAATTCCTTGAAAACTTAAAATTTACTTCCGGTAAGCACTGATACCTCTAAAAGACTGTAAGGTAAAATATTGTGAAAAGAGCTTAAAATTTTTCATGTAAAGTATGTGCATTATATATTATTATTATGCATTTTCACCGCTATCAAATGCAATTGAACGATGTTTTTGCGTGACATCTGTACGTAAGGACAGAATATAGGACTCTTTTCCCCCAAAAAATTATAAAAGTGATTTAAAATTAATTCTGAAGAGAATTTTTCGTGGCGTTCGTGCTTACGTACGCACATATCTCGCATAACTCAAAAACGAGTAGCCTCAGAACGTTGAAATTCTGTATATGGAACTGCTATAACATGCAAATCTGCACCTCGTATTTTGGTTGCAATCGGCCGCACCAAAAGTACATAAATATATTCAGATATATATCCACTCTGTTACTCTTCGCAGTTATATCAGTTTCTTTATTCTTATATGTTTGTAAGTTGTGTATTTTTTCGCGGCCGAGTGGTAAAGTCGCTGAACACTGGTAGTTCGGCCCGAGGTTCGAATCCCGCGAACGGGCTGGCTGCATGGGCGTTTTCGTAGTTTTCCCCATGTGTAACGTGTATACGAGCCAGTTTCCCCTTAGAAAGTTCTCCACTAAGGCATCCCTCCCCCTTAGGCAGATAGCCCTCGTGTGCTTTGCCATAATTAAATACACCACACTAAAAATGATAGAATTATGTTTTTGTTATCTTCCGGTTAAGGAAACCGGTTCCGGTTTATGTCTTTACTAAATCTGCATGTACTATTTATAGAATTATCAATAATTCAAAGTTTTTAGGTGCGGGCAATTTTAATTATTTTGCCATGGTGGCCATGTTTGTTTTCATTTCAAACATGGCAGAATAGTGAATTCATTGCCAATCAAGAACTCAGCTTCGCAACAACAATAGTAACGCATTCTTTTATTATTACGACTTAAATCATGCTTAATCCATCGTGTAATTTATTCGGGGAAATAAGTGTTTACGATTTACCTCTTAATTTTTTATATAGATATTTTAAATTTTTATGTATTTAAGCCTTGTAGCGAAGTGATGACTGACTTAATTGAATGCGAAATACTGAAATCGTCTGTGAAAAACTATTTCTTTTTTTTTTTTTTTTTTTTTTTTTTTTTTTTGTTTGTTAGTTTAATTTTTTTTATATATGGCTTTGGGTTTATTATAGTATTTGAATGGAACATGTAGCAACGATTAGGCAATTCTCCAGATTGATATAATATTTGTGGATTGAGTTATAAAATGAAGGAAATATAAGGTTGTTAAGGGAACTTATCTCCAGGGTGTCACTGTGATAAAAACATATACTATTGGGTTTTAAACAGTCTATTCTATTGTGGTTTAGGCGCTATCGACGAAGTAGATTTAATTCAATCCAATAAGTTTAAATGAAATGCGAGAAAAAATGCGCATGACTTAATATTCCGTACAAGGAAATCATGTGGTGTAGATATCAGATATTTTTCATTGTGCACAAGCGGAAAAAGAGTCATCATTCATACTTGCAAACAATTTTGACAAAGTACGTAAACTACATTTGGCGTTATTATAGCGTATAACAAATATGCCAAACTTCATAACGCGCAAAAATATCAATTCACATATATTTTAGGAGATTTTGAATAAAACATTCTAATGTTTTTTAGGTATGCTTAGGAATATATCTATTTAAGATGATGAAAAAATTTTTATAGAATATAATTCAAAATGGTTTTCGAATGTAAAAAATTATTTAAAAATACAAACTAAAAAACTAAGTAATTAAAAAATGGGCGAATGGCATTTGGAACGAACACTAAAATTCGATATGTGAAAGTAAAAATAAAATAAGTTTAATACAAAAAAGAGATATTAATAAATATTATACCAAATTCAATTAACATGGAGGAGCTAAAATTTTGAGAGCTAAGTTTTTAATTTTTAAAAACTACTTGTGCGATTTTTACAAAACTTGGCAGTTTGGCATAATTTGAGTCGTAGAATCGAAATATGGAAAACTATTGGTATGTTATTTTAGAAAAAGGTCCAATTTTGGGTCAAAATACGTAAGCTAGAACAATGCTATATATAAATCTAGTATATATCCTATGCCGTGCTTTCTAGACATGGAAAATGCAAGTTAAATTTCGACAATCGGTCCAGTAGAACAGTCCCATTTTTTTGTGCAACTTGTACGAAATAAAGTTATTAATAACTGTGTACTCATAAAAGATAAGCAGTACATCATTTTAAGTCTGTGTTCGCTAATGTTTCAGCTAGATAGAATCAAAACCATGTGTATTGTTTTAACTTTGATAAAAATGCAAAAGAAATATACCAGCAGGCATCGTGATTCGCACTTTCCCAGGACTATCAGGATCGCTGGTCAGATTACCTTCGAGAGTATGTCTTTCCTCCGATCTATGAAAAAAATGGAATAAAATATTTTAAAATGGATTTGAGACATTTTATATTATTTCAATAATTAAGTGAATTGTACAATATGAGGAAATATTTGAATTTAGTTACATGTAAATAATGATTTATGTAACACTTTTAAATCGGAATCTGAAACAAAGTGTTTTACTTAAATAGATTTCAACTCTTATATTTGTTTATGAGCATTAGAAAACTAATTAAGATACAATAACACGACAAAGAAGTATTAATTTAGAAGTCAAACAACGAAAATCAGATTTATGTTTTCAAATTTTCACAGGACTAGTTTCGATGGTTTTACCCAACGGACAGCCTCAGTTGCAAAAGCGCAAATGAACGAGATATAGTGATTAGATAAGATATAACAAGAATGACTGGACAGCTATTAATGTACTCGTTTCAACTGTTGATGAAACGAGAAGTAAAACATAATTTCCTTAAAGGCTGAGGGCGTAGATGGGTTGGAATCAGGGTCTTTTTCTAGAACAGAAATAAATTTTTGAATGTGAAATGCCTCTAGAAAATCTAATTCACCAATGAAAGATGTGTTTGAATAATGCTTTTGAAGCCGAGGATGTTTGTTCGATAAAACTATCGAAACTAGTCCTGTGAAAATTGGAAAACATAACGCTGATTTTGTGGTTTGACTTCTAAATTAATTAAATCAGAGAACTATTCCAATTCTGAAGGGAAGCATATGCTTAGGGGAGTAGTTTCATAAACCATTACTACACATATAGCTGCGCTTTGTGAAAACATTTTCGTATGCTGGCAATGAAACAGAGGCGAAAACAAAATGAAATAATTATCTTAACAAAAACACAGGGCAGTATTTGGGTGCATAGGGTTACGTTTTATGATAATCAGTTATTTTAAAGGAATTAAATTTTTTTATTTTTTTCTTCTTTTAAAAGGGGACTCATACACCTTAAAACCCATAAGATGTTCGAATAGGTGACTGTTGCAAGAATTGGGATAACTTACTTATTTTAAAAGCAATTACTACCAACTTTTTACAGCTGAATACATAATATAGCTGCTTTCTGAAATAGTAATCAGAAAGTTTGTGTTGCCACAGATATTTTTATAATTTAATCGGGTTTGTGACAACATTTTTCGTCATGTTTCCAACTTGCGCGCACAGTTTAAAACATTCTGTTTCATAATTTAATTCCATATTTAATATATAGCTTTTATAACATTTGGAAACTACCGTGAACCTAAAATTCTAAAATTTCATCTTAAATTTTCATTTTATTTGAGTTGAGTTTATAAAATATTTTTATTAAAAAAATTTGTAATTTTTTTCTTCCAAAAAATTTTTCAATATTAAAATATTCATCAGATTGTTGGTTTAGTTAGAAAATAGTGCACATATAAAGAATTCCATCCAATTTCAAGTATGCACCATTAGCTATTTTTAAAATACCATGCGCGCAAGGTGGAAACATGGCGAAATATTTATCACAAAGCGGATTAAATTACAAAAATATTTGTGGCAACACAAAATTTCTGGTTACTAGTTTCGAAAGCAGCTATACTATGTAGTCAGCTGTAAAAAGTTGAAAGTAATTGCTTTTAAAATAAATAAAATATCCCAATTCTTGCAACAGTCACATATTCGAAGATCATGAGGGGTTTAAGGTTTATGAGTGCCCTTAAATATTTAAGGGGAAAAAATAGATGAATGCAGTGACTACAGAGTCTAGTTCTTCTCAGTAGCGTAAACTAACGAGCTCTCAAAAGACTGTACGACGAATTATCCCGAGGTCTTGACAACAATAGATAGGGTGAGAAGTGTGTAAAGGACCTTTGTTCAATCATTTAGTTGAACAGATTGCCCCACTTATTTAAAGCCAACATTTTTGGCTTCACTCAAATAGGCAGTGTTGAAATTAAAATAAAATGTAATTTAACAAGCCCGACGGCTCACAGGATAAATTAACGCGCAGGAAGGCTCTGATTGGTACAAACCGGCGGAAACAAGCTTAGTGGCTAGAAGCACTCAACGGCACAGAACAGAATCTCTAGTAAGTCACAACATGGTCTTCAAGCAGGAGCAAGAGCTCTAAAATTACCTTCCGAAATTTGCTTAAATACACTCTTCCATCTTTCATAATTTAAATACAAGCCCGCTATCTGATGAGCATTCTGACAGGAAAGCGTGAGCGAAAACTAGAATGAAAGGAAAGTTTTTTAACTAATATTTAATGTTAGTTAAAATAAATAAATAAATCCTCACAAATTAAGTTATTTTGTTCTGAGATCGCAATAAATGTTTTTAAAAAGACATTATGAAAAAAAAATGAATTAAGGCTGCTAATATTTGTAAGTAGTACATGTATTATACTCTGGCAAACTATGAATTTTTTACTATTTTATCCATTTTTAATATCAAAACACGAGACAATTAATATTATTTTCGCAAAATTAATATTATTTTCACATAAATGTTTTCACATAAATAATTTCACATAAATAATTTCACATAAATTATTTCACATAAACAATATTTCACATAAATAATATTTCACATTATTTCACATTAAAAAAATTTCACATAAATTTTTTCACATAAATTATTTTCACACAAATTAATATTATTTTCACATAAATGTTCCATGATTTAGAAAAATAGTGAATTTTTTGCATTTTTTTTCAATTTCTAAAACTCGCTCAAAATCTTAGATAAAATGTTTACAAATGTTAATGAAAGAAGACATAAAATACTTTAAAAAAGAACAAAAAAGTATAAAAATAGTTAAAAATTCAAGTATTTTTATATTTTTTTCAATTATCAAATTTAAGAAAAATTCAAATTAGACCAAAAATATTTAAATTAAAAAAAAAGAATGATTCTTTTCAGCGATCATCAACCTTGGAAAAATGAAAAATATATTAAAAATTGAAAGAGAATCCAGGGTAGGAAATATCCCCCCTGAAAAAATATAAAAAATTAGAAAAATTGAAAAAAATTCAGGGTGGGAAAATTTCCACACTGAAAAATTATTTCACATAAATTCCACCTGAAAATTATTCCACCTGAAAAATTATTCTAATTCTTTTAATTTATAGACATATTGCCCATTTTTTATTCCTTTATAATGAAATATATAGTCTCCTAGATTAATTTCATTTATAGATTTACCAGAAAGTTCGTGTTTTTTCACAAGATAATATTCTTTAGGTTCATCATCGACATTTAATTTAATAACTGTTGAATCTCCAAATTTTGTCTGAATTTTTCTCAATGACATTAGATCATATTTTCCAGGTTCTAAATCTTTCAATTTTAGTGTTTTCGGATAAGATCTAAGTCTGTTGAATCCCTACATCTATTTATATAGAATAATTTTTTGAATGTTTTTCTCCTTATTTATTTTTGTTTGAATTTAATATTCCAGTTAACCTTCAATTCTTCCAAAATATTTTCTAAATCAAGGGACATCATATCAATTAATGTTTTAAATTTTTCAGTTTCAGTATCATATTTTCCCATTACATATTGGAGAGTTTCTATTGAGTTGCAAGGGCATGATTCCTTACGACATTAACTTATGTTCTTCTTTTAATATGTCATCTAATCTTCTTAATTCATTTTCCATTTATAGGTAAAAAAATAGGAAAATTAGTATAGGAAATAAAGTATAAAAAAAGTAAATTTAGTATAAAAATAGGAAAATAGGTAAAATCAGATTAATATCCAAATGGTACTGTATCATAATTTTATAAAATTCTTCTTTTATCAAAACTGAATGTATATTTTTTATTCATATTAGTTACCTTATATTTTTGAATTTTAAATTGACTAATTTCTACATGTATGCAATTATTTTTTCCTGTTATTATTTTATTTCTTTCATCAAAATTGAGTTTATTTTCAGTTTCATGAGTTATTTTAAATCCTTTCACTTTCCCAAACTCTTTGCCGTTATTTAAAATATAACTATGATCTTTGGATAATGATTTGATAAAAACCTCATTCCTTCCAAGTTCATCTGTCCATTTTCCTAATGTATGACCTGTTTTTACTTTATTGGTACCATCATCAATATGTTACACATGTTAATCACAAGTTATTTCTTACAAAATGATCTTTCATCTTATAAATCATTTCTATACAATCATCGTTCATAAATACCATATTTAAATCTTTAATGCTACTATTTAATTATGATTCTATAAAAATCTTCCAATTCCATAACGTATTCAGTAAATTTCATATTTTTCTTTTGACCATATTTACTCCATAATGAATTTAAACAAATTTAGCTATATTTCTCATACCTGGATTTTTTTTATATTCTCTAGAGCTATATCTAATTTTTTTAATAAATCTTTTATATTCTTCTTTACTTTCATATTGTGTAGACCATTTATCATCTGTTTCTAATTTAATTTTCATAAACATTTTAATATATTCCTTGAATAAATCCTTTGTTTTGTTTTCAAAGTGCCAAACTTCATATGTATCTAAAATTTTATATCTTTTTTTAATAGCTAATTTAACTTCTTCAGTTGCCCAAGTTCCTATAAAAGTTCTTTCTTCATCATTATGTTGACATTTTTTATTTCTAATTTCATAACACTCTGTACATTTTCTGTTTTCTACAAGAGTTTTAAAATGTTGTTTACACTGAACAGGTTTTGAACATGTTTTACATAATGAAAATACCAATTTTTCTCCTTTAACAGGTAGTACAGGATGATATAATTTTCTAGGTGCAACTACTTTACATTTAATCAATTATTGTCGAATTTTTCAGTATTATGAATTTTAACCTTTTACACGTCAATGTTCCATAAATGGAACATCGAATTTAAAATTTTATAAAAAACACAATTTTATTAATATTGCTTTGTATAAATTATTACATGGAGAGATAAATATGAATTGACGTTTTAGTAGCAATATAATTCTTCTAAAAAAAAAATTATCTTGATTAAAAAATTCATTATTTCACTTTTTTTCTTTTTTTTTT